TATACTGCTCTTCCTTACTGCAAGAGTGCTCAAGCTTTTAAACTTTCATAGTTTTCTCACTGATGTTTGCAATACTATAGCGTATGATTATAACATATGATAGAATATTATACGTGAGTACAGTTCTAAGTGAATAAATTCCCAAAAGCATTACAAAACCCCATCATATGAAGGGACTGAACTTAAATAACTACTGCTTCAAAGTTAAAAAAAAAATTCAAAGTAAATGTTTATAAAGGAAGGGAACACAAGATACTCAGAGTGTGAACTTCGGCCATGTCACCCTCTCTCTCTCAAAAGCATGACATTTTATGTAAACTTAAGCAGGTGTAATTGATGAAAGTTAGTCTCCTGAAGGAAAAATATAATTCTGTATATCTTAATATAATTGGTGCATTTCAGATACATCAAACAAACGTAGATTTCTATGCAAGTTCATTAGAGGTAGTTCTATACATGTTGCCTAACAACTTTTAATACATGAGTCTATCTTTGCTGGACAAGACAAAAAAATGCTATGTATGAAAAAGCTTCAAGGGAAGCAGGTGGGGGACCTTCTACTTCAGTGTTTTACAAATGGACAACATTGGTTTGGCAGAAAAAAATGCTTTAAAGAAGATTCTGGAAGTGCACTCTTTAGGTGATCGTTTAGGGTACTGTACTTCACACAGGCAGATGACCCCCAGGGAGCCTGGCCTTAGTAGGAATATGTACACAATGCATTTTCCACTTAGCTCCTCACATCTGCATCCTACTAGGGATGGGACATTAGTTGAATTTCTTTAGCTGTTCTTTTTTTTTTTTAAAGAAATACATCATTTTATCACAGGGTGGCATAATGGTAAAGTATCACAAAACTCATGTGGTCATCGAATGCAGAATCAGGATTTAAGGATGCTTAGCACCTGATACAAAGTGAGATGACTGCACATGTTGTGACTGTACTGGCAGCTACTCCTAGTTGTAGATGTCAAATTTTTGGTAAAATGTAAATGACCAAAGTCTCCCTTGATAATCTATAGAATGTCCTGTAAAACTTTTAAGTTCTGTTTTGTGCTGTTTGCTAAGCAACAAAAAGATTTCAATAACTAAATTTTAAAATTCTGTAAAATAGTAATTTAAGATCAATATTTTTCACTTTCTCTCCTGGACAGGAATATTATGTAGTTAAGATAGAAAGATCTTCAATTCTGTCATGGTCGCTATGACTACCATCACCATTGCTATTAGTTGCTACTGTTATAGTGTCATTACCACCATCGTCACCAATGTACATGCTAGCAAGTTAAAGGTGTTCAATTTTACAATGGTCTTGATTATTCTTAAGGTCAAATTAAGTATCTCAGGAAACATATCACAAAAATATACTAATAAGAAAAAAATACCAATAATGCAAAAATCATACATTTATCTTCCCTTCCAAAAACATTATAGTTGGACTGTCTTGTACCAAAAGCAGATATAACAGAACTTAAATTTGAATGTCCCGTAAACAGAATTTAATATCAGTTTAAATTTGAATGTCCCATAAAATGGAAATAAAATATTAAAATGCTATTCCAAGGTGTAAAATAGTGAGGAAAAGTTATTAATGAGATCCTCACTCCATTGCACTTATCATTAGAAAACAGATTTAGTTTAATTTTGAATCTCATCATCTAGAAGAATATATTTCTCTTTCTGGAAATGATTTAATTCAGCATGTATGTTCTCTCTACATTAGGTCAATGACATCATAGCATGCATTGTCCACTGTAATAAAAGAAGTGTTTTTTTTTCATTTTTAATTCATTTAATATTTGAATTTTAGGTAAGGTATGTGAAGAATTTAATAAAACAAAATTTTTTAAAAATAGTAATGTCTTAAAGAGGAAAGAATTAGACAGTGCCTAAAATAACTGAGCTAAATCTTAATAATCAACATTTAATTCTTATCCTGTAGTTGATCAAGTATACCTTTTTATTTGGAAAGATCAGGATAGAGATTTTTTTTTTTACCTTGTCTTTCAGTGATCTATATATTAAAATAAAGAATACATAAAAAGTAAATAAAACAAATACTGAATTATTTGATTTGAAAGACTGTTATAGAGACTGTTCCATGTCACTTTTAACTATTTAACTAGCCTGGATAATCTGCCCTGTTATACTGATAGCCAAATCTTTTTTTTTTTTTAATTGTAAAATTCTGTTTACTGGCACAAAATGTTTTACCATTACATCTTGTTGGTGGGTTTTCCTTTATGAGATCTGCTTTTGTAAATTTAGTTTTAAATTTTTCATAGATCTTTTTAAAATTTTTTTCCATAATTTTATTGAGAAACAAATAGCAATGAGATGGTTTCAAACCAAACTGGTAGGACAGTTTCAATAATTAACACATTGCATACATTCTTCCTAGTGGTTAATTGCTGTACAAGATGCGGACTTGAGATCCTGTTTACACCATTAGAACAAATCCCTCTATTCATTAAGAGAATGTAACTATATATCTATCCTAACCACTTTGAATACACAGATACAAAATGGACATTCATCTGTATCCTCTTTTTTGTTAAGTTGTGTTATCTGAATATTATAGGTGTGCAAACTCAGCAAAATATTCTAAAAGAGTCCAGTATCCCATAATAGTATTGGGTCTTCCTCTTGACTGGCAATGTCAGAAATTGTTGACCTGAGCCCCCTACAGCTCAACATAACAACATGGCTTTACTTCCTATATTTCGTCTTCATACTTTTCTGCTGGATGGTTAAGACCAAGGTAAAGCAAGACCTATGCAACAAGAGTTGTAGCTTTTGGGTCTGATAAGGCCAGTGAAATCCCCTCAGGATTTATCCTGAGATCCTGTACATCAGATTGTAGATCCTTTGTCAGTGTCAGCCATGTGGATGAGTCACGGCCATTGCTTGGCCAATGTGCTCTCTGTGAAAGCCTGAGAGAGTGTTTTCTCTCCATGTGACTCTCCTTAGGCACACTCTACATCATTGATCACTTTCCTCTTTGGCCCCATAATCTCCTTGATCAGAAAATTTGGGACACTACCGAGTTACATGACATTACAGTACAAGTTCTCATATGTCCTGAGTCTTAATTGACCTTGGAAAAAGAAGTGTTTTTAAAAAAAATTTATGAACATATTTTTTCTTCATATCTTATTAGCAGTGAGAACAAAATACTAATTTCTTATTAGCAAAATTTTTATATTCTTGCATTTAAACCTGATATTAAAGAAAAAAACAAAGTACACTTAAATGTTACTCACGATGATTATTAATATATTAAGATCTAAACTATATTGTCCTTGTTAATTAGGGTGCATGGAAGAAGCTCTTAAGTGGTAAAGTCTTTAAGTGCTAAATAAACACTTTCATAGTGTTTAATATGCTATGACTTTACTAGATACATAATTTTATTCTTATAACATTTTGTTTAAAGACACAGTCACTTAAGATTTATCTGACAATCAAGAGTTTATAAATTTTAAAAATTGACTAGATGGTATATAAGACAAATATATAATTTAAGAGTCTTATCTTTTATCAGTAGGAACTATTGAAAAAGGCTATAGACCTCTAAATGCTAAGTCCAGGTAGTAAAGTAAATATATATAAGATTCTGAAAACTGCATAATCAATTAAATGAATTTAGAAAACACCAAATAGTTCTGTTATCTAATGACATAAACCTGAGGGTAATTATGTACACCTGAAATTCAGTCTTCAGAGGGGATGAAAATAAATAAAACTAGGGCTCTAGCTCTTTTAAAAGAAAATGCCTCTCAAGATAGACTCTTAGATCATTATTTATTAAAATGCATCTAAGATTCATTTTCCAGAGTCAGTCTTGGCTAGTTAGGGACAATATCTTCAAATAATCTTGCACTGGGACCTGAAGTGACTTTACACTTTCATAATGTTTAATATGCCATTTTACTTTTCCAGCTATAGATGGTTTATTTTGCCATGTCCTAGTTTTGATCTAAATTAAAGCAATAAATAATGTAACTTCATGCAGTTTGAAGTACTAAATATTTTAGGAGTAATTCCTTGGCAATTTAAAATTTTACACATGCAGTTAATAGCAAGGAGAAAGAAATTCTTAAATGCCATTCATAAAGGAAGTATGATTTAACAGAAAAATAAACAAATCACACTGTAAGTAAAAACAGTAGAATAGTCTTTTATAATTAATGAATTCAGGAAGCAAATTTTCCTTTAAATTACATATTGAGGATAACCATCTTTAGCTATGAGCTCCACTGAACAATGGAATTTGTATGATTGCTCTCAAACTCATGAAATGAATTTGAGGACTGTAATAATCTATATTTTCATTAAAACTAATGAACTGAATTATAGACTCTAATTTTAAACTTTGGCTTAAACTCCATTTCTATATAAATAAGGTTCAAGATTTATACAATTTGGTAACCCTTACATTAAGCATGTGTTCTTAAGAGACATGTGTGCATATATATATATATATATATATACACTTATATATATGACATTTTATATTGTATATGCTTATATATGTGATACAAGTGATAATTGTATTTACATACATAATTAAATGTATTTATAAAAGCATATGATAAAAATAAAATTTGCACATGTAAATCAGGCTTCAGAAAGAAGCAGAAAACATATATACATGTAAGATATCATATATATGTGTGTGTGTGTGTATATATATATATATATATATATATCAAAATAGATAGGTGTCCTATAAAGTTTTACAGCACTATTTTTTTCCCTTTTAATATTTTAACTTGAAAACAAGTTAACAAAATTAAGCATTAATCCTTTATGCCAGCTTTATTTAAGAAAAATTAAATTATATCTACTGGCAAGGAACTCACATGTATAGAAACATAATATGTAAGCCCTTTTCTTTGTAAAAGACATAATGTTCTATTTATTATGGTAAAATCACACAGTGATGATCTTCTTCCAAGCTCCCAAGTATTGGTTAGTGTGACAGAGCATCTTCTTACCTTATTGGAACTTAGGCTGTGAATTCTATCACTAGAGTAGCTGTGGGGTATTGGAGGGTCAGGGTAATCCTCAGCACCTTTTGTATTCTTCTTGACAACTTCTACGTAGGAAACAGGGAAGATGCCTTGTCTGTTGGTGCCTGGAATTTTACCTTCATACCAGTTTTGATCAACTCGTTTAAGGAGAATAATTCTATCTCCCTATAAAATAAACATTAAAAAATGCATTATAAATGGAAGTGCAACAATAGAAAAAGTGTAACTGCCCCTGTTTCCTAATAAATTATAGTTTGCTATTTGGGGAAGTTTCTGTTTAATCAGAGAAATGCAAGTAAGACCTTTGTGAATACCAGAAAAATAGAGATGATTAACATATATGCAATTCACCCACCTATTTTTTAGAGTTAGTGTGGATAGTGTTACGCATGTTTCATACCAGTATTGTGTACAATGATTTGTGTGTTATTTCAAAAAGCAGATTAGCTTAGCAGGTAGCATTTCAATGATGGTAGCGTCACTCTGTTTCTGTCAGCTCTGACAGAATGCCTTTCTCTAGGAAGGGCTTCGGGATGTGTGTCTGAAATTGGTTGCAGGAATCAACCCTTGGAAGGGAAGAGTTGAAGGGCACACTGGATTTCTTCTTTAATCTACATCTTCTGAATGAAAAAAAAAAGCAAATTAAGAAGGGTGGGACAAAGAATATCCAGAGTTGTAGTCAGGATTTATACTGCTCTGGTCTTTATTCGAACACTGACATCAGCATCAGCGCTTACTGCTTAGTGGTCATGTCTCCCTAGTCATTAAATATTTGGATAGCATCATGGCTTCTGTGGTGATAGAAATTTCTACATGTACTTTTCTGTTGTCTGCAATCATGCAGAACCTATTTTAAGTTTTAATTCAAAACTATGCATGGCCCAGGACTAAGTGGGCAAGGTCTTGTTCATTAGCAAAATTGCAGCTGCACACACAGAGCTGGTACAGCGATGGGTGACACCGGGTCAGCAGCTGCTGACCAGTGAGGTGCCCTGTTGCAGGTGCAGAGAGCTTCACTGAAGTTTCTCTTTTTGTCAAAGTGCTGTATAGTTTATTTAGTGTACCCCACCATCAATGAGCAGAACACAGTGAAGAAAAGTGAACCTCTCTACTGACAGAACTCATTTTCTAGTATACCAAGAGCAAGTAACCACTGGGTTGTTGGGTGAGTTGCACTGGAAAAGATTTCCTTTAAAACAAGAAACAGAGGTGGCACAGTGTGTGCAATACCGAGTGCAGTAGCTGGTAGTATAACAGAATCAGCTAATGGTACAGAATTAGGACCACATCGAGGGAATTAGACAAGGTTCTGCCAGGACCAGAACTGTGGAATTTCCTTCCTTTCATCTGGCCAAAGATTTTCTCAGTTGGCACGGGAGGTCCAAGAGCACCGAAATTAATACTACTGTCGAGGCAGGAGGTTAGGGCACAGCACACAGCTGGACAACTGGGCCTGCCCTGTCTGTCAGAGCCAGGAAACATGACAAGCCCTGTGTTAGCCAGCCCGTGTCTGACATCAGAGGAGCATACAGATGTGGCAGCTATTGGCCCTGTGGTTATCGTGCCTTTGCTCTCACATGGCTGGTCCGCTGTGCAGGATGTATTTATCTGTACTTTCTTCAGGAACTTCTTTGGAACACTACTTTTTTCCTCTTTTCTTTTCTCTGTCTGTCTGTCTGTCTGTCTGTCTGTCTGTCTGTCTCTCTCTCTCTCTCTCTCTCTCTCTCTCTCTCTCTCTCTCTGTCTCTTTCTCTGTCTCTCTCTCTTTCCCTCTCTCTCTCATGTGTTTGGGTATAGGATCTCATTATGCACCGCTCAGACTCTAGTGATCTTCCTGTTTCAGCCTTCCCAGCACTGGGATTACAGGCATGTGCCACCGCACCCAAACTAAGTCACTGGCTCAGTGCACCGGGGGCTCAGGCCGGCATGGCATGTGGTACCAGGGATTGAACCCCGGTCCCCGAGCTTGCCTAAGTAGGCGCTTAGTCTGCTGAGCTATCTCGCTGGTCCTCCTCTTTTTTTTTTTTTTTTTTTTTTTTTCTTTCTTGTTTTTGTATTGTAGGGTGGGGTCTACAGGTTGTTCAGGGTCTCACTACTAGATCTGACTTGTAGTGATCTGCCTATTTACAGCCTCTCAAGAGCTGGAATTACAGGCATGTGCCACCACACCCAGTCTCAATTGCCATCTCAGCACGCCCCAGGGGTGGGGCCAGCACAGCAGGCCTGGGGATCGAACCCCTGGCCCCTGAGCCTGCTTGCTGAGCTATCTGGCAGGCCCTTTCTCTTATTTCTTGCTGTGGTCCATCCTGCATATTATTTTCTCTTTTTTTCAGCACACTTCTTTGCAGCACTTCAGAAGGTTTTACATTCTTCATTTGTTCTGTCCAATTTTTTGAACAGGGCCATAGCACCTGGAAAGGCCCACTAATCCCCACACATGCAGTAACACTATCTGGTCTGTGTGGTGTGCAGCATAAACAAATGCCTACCATTGTATTGGAAACAGTGTAACTGACTTACCCTTCTCAATAGGTCAAAGGAGCAAATCAAAAGGCTTTCTTCTGACTTGTTAAGAAGGGATGGTAGTATTGGAAAGGCTGCCTATGAAATTTGGGTTAGCTTGTGGCCCAGAAAAAAAATGATCAAGGAAACAGCATCACACAGCTAGCTATTTGAAAAAGCTTCCCAGAGAGGATGTGTTCTGCTACTTTAGGATCATTGCTTCATTCCAAGATAGGGAAAAATGGGTATTGGGACACCTTTTGAAAACAGCTGGATCATAAGACAGTGGAACAATAATATTTTGAAGTATATGAAAATATTTGTTTGATGCTCTGCATGTCTAGCTCTGAGCTATTCAGCCAGGGCACCCTGTAGACAGCACTTGGGGCCCTGCTTCCCAAGCTAAGGCAAGGAGAGACAGGCTTTGCCACCCACAGAAATCTCTCTGGAGGGACAAAGGGGTCAGAGTGACACTGGGCATTGCCTTTTTGGAAAATGGAGAAAAAACAAAAATGTCTAAGGGAGATGATAACCTATTTTAGTTTCAGAATTACAAGTTTTCTAATGCACTTTCAAAGAAAATAACCAGCTTACCTTTCTCAGTGAGAGTTCCACATTTGTGTCTGCATTGAAATTATATTTGGCTATAGCTTCTCCAATTTCTCCAGGCTGGGCCGGGGGAGGTGGTCTTGCAGGCTGTGCTTTGTCGGGAGGTGTGAGTTTCTATGAAGGAAAATATTAATTTATGCTTGAATTTGTGGTGACTTTTAAAACAACCACCAATCAGGACAGAAGGGAAAAGGAACGCACCTCTACATATGAGATTGGAAAAATGCCCACTCTTCCATGGTGCTCGCCTTCGTACCAATTTTGGTCGATTTTCCTGAGGATGTAGACAGTGTCACCTTTCTTAAATGACAGCTCCCTGGAAGAGAAGTGTTTAAATGTACCACAATTATTCTTCCAATCAATACCCTTGTTAGACCCACATTAGTCTGGAAAGTACACTTCCAACACATAGTAATCTGTCAAGCTTCGTTAGCTAAGTAGTTTCCTTGAAAATGTCTAGAAATCACTCGCAACATAACTTTAGAAATAATTTTGAAAAGTGTAACATCTGATATAAATCACAGAGAGATTTATATGACATTTTAAAGAGGACACAGACAATTTGTATTTTTAAATCTGAAATATTATGAAGTTTGGCCAAATGATGGACTAGGATTGCACTGATCTTTTTAAATCTGAAGCTACTTGTTTGGTAACCACCCTTTCCCCATCTACTTTCGATGTGCTAATGCTTACATTAAGGAAAGCAAACACTGCACACCTCGGAACAGAGGCATCAGTGCCAGGAGGATAGCAGGGAACCTTTGAGGTTACAGAGAGATATCTAAGTAGTATTTGATAAGAAATTCATTTTGCATGAAAGAAAAGATTTTGTACTTTTTTCAATAGAATAAATCAATAAATATGTTTTAAGTACAAAGATATGAACAGATGTTTATTTTCTTTTTTAAAAAAATTAATGTATCTAAAAACACTATGTCATTTTTTCTATTTTGACTGTTTTTGAGAAAAACAGTAGGTCATTAGATATTTTAAATTTTAAGTGCTAATGAAATTATTCATTTTTAATAATCCGTACCTAAGGTTATCACCCTCATTACATCAGTTTTTCATGACTTCATTACCCAGATAGTTTTGGTTCATTATTTTGCCCCCTCAGTTACTTTGCTAAAGGGCATTGAATTGCATCTTTTCCCTAAGAGCCCCACTTTTTTTACACATCTGTCTTCTACCCTAGAGTTCTGCCTTGTTTACTTCAGAATTTTAAGTTGGATTATTTATTAGTGCAAGATATATGTTGAACAGAGGTTTATGTTAAATGTATTTTTTTGAGTCAAAGAATTAATTAAAAAACATTTTACAGAGTAAAAGAATGATTACACATTTAGAAGCACTAAAATCTTTATATTTGTGGTGTACTGGGAAGGCTGAGGCAGGAGGATCGTTTGGAATTCAAGACCAGCCTGGGCTACAAAGTAAGCTCAAGGCCAGCCCGAACTGCATAGCAAAGCCCTGTCTGGAAGAAAAAATTTAGAAACAATAAAAATATTTACAAACTTCCAGAGCCAAAAGCATTATGTTTAAACATTTGTTGCTGGTTTGGTAGCACAGAGGACTGAACTCATAACCCTTCCACTGAGCTACTCCCTCAGCCCTCTTTTATATTTTATTTTGAGACAGAGTCTCACCAAGTCCCTATGGTACCCACAGTAAGCTTGTAATCTTCCTGCCCCAACCTCTCGGAGTGCTGGGGCTGCAAGTGTATATCACAATGCCTGGATAGTATTTCCTTGTTTTCTTGAAATATTTGATGCAAAAACCAGAAAACAAAATAAGATATGTAATGTTTCCAGCTGTTATGGTTTGTGTCTAGTTGTCTCCCCAAAGCCTCATACAGTCATGAGGCCTGGACTTCTATATTTCCTTGTTTTCTTGAAATATTTGATGCAAAAACCAGAAAACAAAATAAGATATGTAATGTTTCCAGCTGTTATGGTTTGTGTCTAGTTGTCTCCCCAAAGCCTCATACAGTCATGAGGCCTGGACTTCTAGCGTTTGTGATTAACTCATGATCCACTGGGATTACGCAAGATCCAAGGCTGGGATTATGGGTTTTAGTACTGCTGGAATTATGGGTGTAAGTACTTCCCCTAACCTGGGGTAGAGAGCCTGAATGTAATATAAGAGACAGAGAGACAGACTTTCTGTAGCCATTGCTCTTTGTTGGTGCTGTTCGGCCGCCATGAACTGCTGCTCTCTGCCCTGTGCCGCTCTGCCTTGGAGTCAGCTGAATATGCACTGAAACCTGCAGTAACTGGGAGCTAAGCAAACATTTCCTTCCTTCATTTTGGGTGTCGGGTATTTGTCCCAGCAAGGAATGAAGAGTAACTGAGACACCAGCTCAATAGTTTTATTGTATCAGGAACATTTTGTTTCTGGATATTTTAAATATACCTGCAAATCAGGGCCAACTAATTATTTTCTTTTAAGTATGAAAAGCTTTTTTCTCTTTGTAGAGGTTTGCATTTAAATTTTTTAAGTCGTTTAGACAAAGGAAAGTTAATTTCTCCTCTAGTTTTCAAAGCAGAGTCTCATCTCAGACCTCGAGTCACATTTTAATCAGGTTTTTGTTGTTATTTTCACTTTCGCAGAGTAGCTATTGACAGAAGATCTAGGGGAAATGGCATTTTATCTCTTTTCCCACTTAAAGATGGAGTCTTTATATTTAGTGAGTTCCTTGGCTATATTTTTATAATTATTTGTAAATATAAGAGATAAAGTCATCCTGAAAACACACACATACATATTGCCGTCTCTTGTTCACAAGACGTTGGTCACCAAAAGGTGCTCCTAGGGTTGGTGAGATGGCTCAGTAGTCTAAAACACCTAGTTAGAACAAGCTTAGCAGAGCACAGGGACCACGGTTCAATCCCCCAGCACCACATGCCAGCAAGCCCCGCCCCCTGGTGGGCTGAGCTGGCCACACACACACACACACACACACACACAAATAAAATT